GTCAACAAATTTCAAGGCCCTTGTTACAGTCAATAATGATACAAGATATGATAATTGCTTCTAACTATTGTTAAGAATTCTACAACTACACTGTTAGACATGTAATCACAAACTTCCTTTACATGTAGATGAAGCTCATGGTTACGAACGAAAGTAAAAGTAATGAATGATTTAACTAAAAATTAAGTTACAGTAGTTACTTAAATATAATGAACGTGTTAACATTAAATTTATAAGATTTGATGTACTTTTTAATAAAATTTTATGAAAAGTACATTAAATTTCATAAATTTTCATAAAAAATAATTAAATTTTTAATTAAATTTTATGTACATGTACACAAATATATTTTTTATAAAGATATTAAATTTAATGTAATGTCATGAAATTAAGTTCAAATTGTGTAACTTAAAAAGTTAACGAAATTTAAAAATATTTCTAATAGTGTAGTATTTAATTATAAATTTTAATTATAACCAGAAAAAGCACTTACAGGCATCCCTTTTCAGAAAATATATGTATTTTTAATTTTTTCGTACTATCACCATTCGATACAATAAATAATTTAACCCTTTAACTAACTGTCGTTTTAGATAATCAAGCACATCATGCGAATTAATTAACTTTATATAAATTGGAATAACGTACAAATGACTGCGAAGTAATAATAGGAAGTCTTAGTCGGCCATCTATTACGACATTCCCGCTCTTAGCTGAACGTACAGTACAATGTTGGCAGGGTTAAGCTCGTTCAAGGCGTGATCCCATTGGGTCAGCACAACATGAGCCGTGTTATGAATCCGTTGGCGAAGATCATCTCGATGAACCGAGCATGAAGTGCCGGGCATAGTCGTAGTCCGAAACAGAAAGGAGCGAAGAAATCGGCGAGCAAGTCAAGAAAAGGCAGAAGCGAGCGAGAGAGAAAGAGAGAGAAAGAGAGGCAGAAATGCGAGAAGCGGTGTAGGAGGAAGAAAAAGAGAGAAGGTGCAGGACAAGGAGAGAGATAAGGTAAGTAGAGAGTCCAAGAAGGGCGAAGAGAAGAGTAAAAGGGGCCCCTCCCGGTAGCTCGATCGGCGAGGAGGATCGGGGCCCCCTTACACGATCCTGGCCGTCAGCACGGGTGGGTAAATGGGTATATAAGCGGGGCCCCGGCGATTCCATCTCGACACACGACCCAACCTTCATCCCGATCGCCAACGATCCTTTGCAACGAGCGTAATCGCACGCGCGTGAGAAAAAAAAAGAGAGGGAAGACAAAAGAAGGAGAGACAGGGACAAGAACCTCCCCCGCGTTCTTTCTTTCGTTCTCCGATCGATCGCGAAGTTCGCGCGACCCGGTGAAAGCCGATCCGCGAGACAAGGAACAAAACAAGCCGAGAAGAGATCGTCCCGCTTGTGCCCGACGCCGACTCGATTGGCATTCTTCTACGTTCCACGGAGGAGAGAAAAATATGTGAGTACACAGTTCCATTTCTTTTTCGCAGAGTTCTATTATACCTCGACCGAAGAAACTCGCGCGTCTTCGCAGCGAAGAGATGATTTTTCGATCAGGAACCCCAATGAGCTTGTTGATCATCACGGATGACTCGATATTTTAATCGATCGATCAAAGCATGGATTCCTTCGTTGAACGATATTAGCTCTTTGGATATTAGCATCGTGCGAATCCGCAAGTAACTCCCTTCGATATAATCGATCACGTAAACGTTAAGTGGAACTCTTTTTCACTCCTGACACGTCATCGATTTATTATTTTTTAAATCCTACATGAAATCGTCCCTATGCATAATTTAGTTTCAAAACGAGTTACATTATAGATTACCGGTGAGCACCGATAATCGAGACCGTTCGATAAAATCTCAAGTCGCAGTGACATGTGCGGTCGACAGACGCGGTTGGTTGGACTTGGCACGATTATTAGCCTCACGTTTGTGCACGGGAGATTTTTCTCGCAGCTATAAGTATTTCTTTCGTAACACGCGTAGGACTCGATGCCGAGTAGCGGCTTCGCCGCGACGACGGGGATAGTTTTGAAAGTGGAGCGCGCGCGATAATGCTATTGTTCGCCGTCCGCGCTTGTATCCGTTCGTTCAATTAGTCGGGGCGCGGCGAATGCGGATTTTCGAAATAGCGAACGACGCTTCGACAAATGCCCTTCTCTTCTCTATAAAAATGTATTGCAATCCATTCCAAAATTAAATCTTGTCTTGAACTACACATTAAAAAACGTGGACGTGATTTTGACATAGATTTAACATGAATTTAATCATGATTTAAAAAGATCTTCTTACATCATAAATTTAACACTATCGGTGTCAATGCGAATCTGTTCAAATTTATTATACTTACAATCATGTCGTTTAGGTCCAGTTGATTAAAAAATTCTAAAAAATAAAAAGTTTTCACAGAAAAAATCTTACATTAACAAACAAAGTCATCAAATATTAGAAAAGAAAAACTCAAGAAAATAAATTACATATTGGATCAAATAAAGCTGAACAGAATTAAATCCATATTATTAGTTATTAAAATTTATATTATGTTTCTTATGATAACTATTAATTTCCAATACATTCAAACATATCTAACGTATAACATCTTATCTGGTTTATATCAATTTTCTCTTGCAACATTCATACACATTGCACGTAGAATTTATTTCAAATTACCGACAAACAAGATAAAAAGGCATTGCAATTGCACAGTAACGATTAAATTTATTATCAAAAACTCGAAATTTCATTATAAGTATTCCAATTCTCGCTGGATGTGCGTTGCGGCTAAAGGGTTAATAAAGAGAAATGAAGAGGTCAAAGCGAGAAAACGCACGTCGCTCGCGTGCCACGCTCCGTCATCGTTATACACATAATTTGTAGATTTCTCAAGAAGTACGTTTGCGTAATTTCGTGTTCCTCTACCGCTGCACGCTCCTTCCCGCCCCATAATTAGCCGGCTTAATCTGTCAATCTGCGAATTACCTGCGCCGCGACGACGTTGACTCGAGGTCGCCAACCGGCAACCATCTTGGCAAATCTCGCAATCGATAGTCAAACGTGCATTGAATCTCTGTTTAGAATCAACTCCGCGATCCCCGAAAATCTTCTTCATATCACGATGAAGCAGATTTACATGAGCTTAGATTCACATGAATCTAAGAGGAACAAAATTCGTGATTTTTGCGCTTATATGAGTAAAAATCTTATAATTACGAATTAAAGGAGTTTCGTAGCTTCAAATTAGACGAGCGGACGCCGCTCTTTCAACACGTCGCAATCAGAAAAGGCTGCGAGAGCTGAAAGGCTAAGAGAGAGAGAGAGAGAGAGAGAGAGAGAGAGAGAGAGAGAGAGAGAGAGAGAGAGAAGAGTAGAAGACTACAATCATTGACGTTGGAGCGCGCGACACTTCTTTGTAAGTGTAGTACCATTATTACACCTCTGATGATCTTGATGAGGTAATCGGCGTTCATCATCTTTCACAGGCATTTCCTGCGTCTATCGACCTGGCCGCCGAGCACTTATCTGTATTCGCGGTGCGATCAACGCGCGTCATCCTCATCGTGATTTCCTTCTGCTTTTTCTTTCTCTTCTTCATTTCCTTCCTTCGAAGATTGCATGGAGAATGGAAGATTCATAGAATAAAAAGAATAGAGAGAAGGAGAATAAAGAAAAGAAATAATGTAGGCAATATAGGCACAGAATAGAGAATGCCTCCGACTATCTATTTTACGTCTATGAGAAGATTACATCGATAGACATGATAAACACGCGTTCGTCCTCATGTAACCCGCAGTGTAGGAAATAATTAACAGACACGTCTATGTGATGCGCGAACAATAAGTCAACGGCAATGATACTTGAATTGGCTCACAATTAAGTTTATTGTGACTACGTGCCGCCGTCATATATCCAGTGTAATTACATCCGCAGTGAGCTTAGTTAATTCCACGCAAATATTTGGAGACTTAGGGACTGCGCACAATGGAAGAAGGAATTAGAAAGAGGAATAAGTATTAAGACTTCTTTAAATCAGAGAAATCTATCAGAAATTAGTTAAATCGAAATATACGATTTCTGGTTGAAATCTTAATATTTATTTCTATTCCTAATATTCCTCCATTGTGTGCAGGGTCTTATACTTCAGCTGCATCGAGAATCTCATAAATTACAATCTAGACCTATATTTTTGTAACTTTTTATAGAATTTATCTTTCCTCTTTTTCTTTCTGAAGAGAAAAAGAGAAAAAATGAACTGTCAGCAAGAAGTTTAACTAATGCTCGTTTTATCAATGTAGATTGATTTTAACTTATCTTTTATATTTTTCTAATTTTAAGAAGTAGAAAAAGATGAAAAGTAAAGAGTAGATAAAAAAATCGAGATTAAAATTAATTCACATTGATAGAAGTAGATATAAAATGAACAAACCTATCTATTTTATCTATCGAAACAAGCAAGCAACTATAGTTACGGTAATTAGTATAATTACCATGGAGATCAAAATCAGTTTATGCAATTGTAGATAAAAAGAAGTCCCAGTTTGCAATATGGACAGTTCCCACTTTCACGCGAAAGCGCATTGCGATTCTTGGGCAAAAGCGAGAGGGGAAAGCAGTTTCGATTTCTGTCGCTTTCTGTCGCGACGCCAAAGCGATTTCGGCAATATCGTCGATATGATATTATAGTGAAAAGACGGTCGGCTTCAGCAAGAACGCAATAACTGCCCCGGTCGCAATTGCATTGCCAAACGTGAAAACCCCCTCTCGATTTTATCGTCAAAACTGGATCCTTTTGCCACCTCTCGCCTCGTTCGCTGTTCGCCGCAACTACGCCTCGTTGTTCCCACCTTTATCGCCACTTCTCGCCATCCCTCTCGACTCTCAGTGTATTCCGGTTTGCCACAACCGGACGGTTTCCACTGTTCAGAGGCATACGACGAAGCCCCCGCTCTCGAGCAATTTGAATCGCTATGCCGTACGCGACTCGAGAATAATATATGCCTCACAACTTTTCCAGTTATAGCTAATTAATGCAGAATTATTATACTTCTATATGACTTATGAATTTTTAATTCGCATATCATCAAAAAATTGTTCTAGGAATACATGGAAAGAACGACTTTGCTGAAGTATCTAAAAATTTAACTAGATACAGATACTGAACTGAAAATTTTGATGAGCCATTAAAATAATTATATAGTATATAAAATAATTATATACGCTTAAATTGATGGCAAAAAGGTTTAACCTTTTTCAATCAGTTTAAGCATCCTTATACATAATTATTTTGATGATCTAAACAAAACTATTTTCAGATTTGTATCTAGCTGAATTTTTAGATACTTCAGCAAAATCATTTTTATTGTTTCACGATTTTTAATCAGTACTAGAACTCATAATTGGATACAAAAATTAAAAATTAAGTGTGATCTTCTACAATATAATAATATATAATATATTTTAATCGTCGAGTTCATTGATGAATTGATTAATCGACGATAGCTACGCAAAAAGACAGATTGGAAAAGCGATTGCTTCTGTCGGAGTGACTACGCTTAACTCGAGCTTAATGCATGCCGATCTAGCCGCACCAACTTGATGATGCGTAAATACCACGTCATTTGTCTCCTATTTCACGTACACCTACTCGCGAATGCAGAATAGTCTAGTGTTTCGCTATCGCGCGATGTATTTTGCGACATAAACACAAGTAGAATTTGCGATGTAAATTTATTATCCATACGCTTCGCAGAAAATACAAAGCGAACATTATCAACTTAATGTCTGTTTTCGTCAATATAATTAACTTAATTTCAGTTCAATTTTTGCTCATTTTTTTCTAGCATTAAAAATTAGAAAAAAATAAAGAATAAGGTAAACTGAAATTATTTTATATTGATGGAAATGGATAAATCTATCAATGAAAATAATATATTGTATATTTTATAAAAATCTATATTTTCTAAATTTTTTTAAGTATCTTAAAAAATAGTAGCTCAATTTTCAATCTTTAAGAATGAGATTTTAGAATAATAATTTCAGAATAATAAACATCCTAAAAATTTTAGATAATAATATTCGTTAAAGTAAGATCTGCTAAAAATTATAAAGGTTAATGATAAGACTTATTATTTTTAAATGTTCGCGCGTGTAACTCAAAAATTCGCGATTTCCGACATTTTATGCAAATCTTCCTTTGAGGTGTGAGAGATCCGTGTCCTTAACGTCTCATTTACCTCGTGTACAACGAAAGTCCGTGCAAGACGTTACAACTATTCTTTCTTATTTTTTTCTGCATTTTACGGAGAAAAAAATTGAATGTGCGGAGAAGCCGTAAATGCAAGCACATAACAAGCGTGAGGGGCACGCATCCTGTCATTAGTTCCATAATGTTCGCCTTATTCGATGCATTCGGTTCAATGTCATCCGTCCCTCTCCTTCCTGCCGATTCTCTCTCGCGACAATCCCGATAGTAATGTTCATCGGCATCCAGCGTTACCGTTCCTCCCCTCGAGGCCTTCTACAGCTCTCGTCCTCTCATTAACAATCATAGCTGTTGTCCTTTCGTCTCGCGATCTACAACTGGGCCCATTCATACATTCGGTCGTCTCGGCCATTCAGGCCGAGCTGTCACGCTGACAGTTTGCCCTCACGTCCGTTTGCCTAACTAGAAGATTGAGCGTCTCAATGTCTTCTCAGTGTGGATCCAAACGAATTTTGTTAGATAAAGAAAGATAAAAAATAATTGTAACCCTCATCGTAATCTTAATTAACACATATTATATATGTAATTGTATGTATGTCGCATATAACCAACAATAATTTTTATTATAAATATATTAGATGTAGTAAAAAGAAATCCATTATTTTTGCATGAAATTGAATGGAAAAATAATGGATTTCTTTTTACTACACCTAATATATAAAAATATATTTATTTCACAATGTCATTGTCATGCATGATCGTTTTTCATCATTTGCGGATAATGTAATGAATATTAGCATGAAAATACGCGCAACTAGTTATAAAATTAATTACGAAAGTAAAACCTTAAGATAATTTCTGCAGTCACAAAAGACTTATTGCGCGATATTTATATTCAGATATATTTGAGGCTATCGATTAAATACTTTTTCTGCAAATTCTTAGTGATTTAATTCAAATTAACAGAATTAAGTTAAGATTTTATCAAATGCTACGATGTAATAATTTAGTCAATTTTAACAAAAATGTCTAATATCGAACATCTTTTTGCAGATATCATAATGATAAAATTCACTGTGGTAACGATGGTATGCCTCTTGGGGCTGAAAATGATCGCTGCCATGCCAGTGGCCGATCATCAAGAGGGCCATCCTCCACAGCCAGTGGCTGATCATCATGAGGGCCACATTCCGCAGGTAATTGATGAAAAGACCGCGGTGAAATCTCTGAAGACGGCGGAGGCGGCCGTGCAGAGCAGCGTACCTGCAGAATCTGTAGCAGCTGGCCAACCAGCACAAGCAGCGGCTGAGCAACCAGCTGCTGTTAATGAGCCTGCCGTGAGAAGCAGCGAATCTGCTAGCGAAGCCCAGCCGGCCGAGGCGAAGCAGGACGAGCCGTTACAACCGCAACAGCCGACAGCAGCGGTGTCCGAGGAAGCTCAGGTGCAGCCCAAGTCCTCCGAGGAACAACTCGAGGAGAAGGAAGAGCCGAAAGTGTTGGCCACCGAGAAGAAACAAGAGCCAGAGACCCTGAAGGAAGCGGCATCCGAGACGAAAGAGTCTGTGCAGCTCGCGCCGCAGGAACAGCCGGCTGAAATCTCAGCCGAAAAGAAAGTAAGTTTTTTATTCCCCTGATTAAGTAATATTCTTTGTTCTTTTTCACTTTATTCTTCTTTTATATCATTCTTAAGTTAAATTTCATCCTCTAATTTTACATTGATATGCTTTTCAGGAAGAAAACATAGCCGTCGAAGCTAAAAGCGCGGAGGCGGTCGAACCTGCGGCCGAGAAGCCTGTAGCCATCGAGAAGCGCGCTGATGGCGCTGCCGAGAAGAAGATTGCTGTTAACGAAGAGCCGAAAGAGGAGAAGAAACTGGAGGAACCAGTGCAGCCAGCTGCGAAAAAGGAAGAGGAAATTCCTGCGGTCGCCGCCACCGAGGAAAAGAAGGTTGAATCGAAAGCTGAACTACCGAAGGAATCTGAAGGTCACTCGCTCGCCCACGCCAAGATCGATGACAAGTCCGACCGTGTGACCCGCGATGCCGAGGAATCCGCTGCGCCCGCCGCCGCCGCTGCAGCAGCTCCCGCCGCAGCTGCAGTTCCTGCCGCTCAGGAACCTGTTCAGCTGCAGGAGAAATCCGCGCCTGTCGAGGCCGAGCAAAACGCAGCGCAAGCAGCCGCGCCGGTAGAGGAACCGAAACCAGCTGAGAAGAGCGAGAAGATTGAAAAGAGCGAGCAGCTAGAGACAGCACCCGCCGAACAGCCAGCTGTCAAAGTCGAGGAACCAGCCAAAAGCGAGGAGAAGGCAATTGAGGTAGCTGCTAAAAAGGAGGCTGAGAAGGAACCGAAGAGTGCTGACTCTCCTGTCCAGCAAGTGGAAGCGGCGAAGGAACAACAGCCCGCACAGCCTCAAGAATCTAGCCAGATCAAGCGAGATGCGGCGGAAGCGCCAGAGCAGCCTCAGGCTAAGTCGGACCTTCCAGCCGCTGAAGAGCAGCAGCAGCTAGCCCAACAACAGCAACCACAACAGCAACAGCAGGAAATCGCTAAAGAGGTGAAGGAACGCTCCGATGATTCTTCCGAAGAGAAATCTTCCGAAGACAGCAAGGAAGACACCAAAAGCAGCGAGGAGGAAAAATCTTCCGAGGAGCAGAAGAACGCCAAACCGAAGCTGGGAGAATTGCTCCCGAAACCCGAGCAGTAAATCTCGGCACGGGGAGGGTTTGATTGATGAGTAACCTCAGCAGCGCGGCAGCAACAGCAGCAGCAGCATCATCTCGAGGAGAAGTAAACTGCTCCTCGGGACGAGCTCAGGCATCGACGTCTCTAATCACCGGGACGTGGGCACGAGTTCGTCGCGAGAAAACTGGAGCAGAAGTGAGAAAGAAAGATGTATGTGTGTGTGTGTGTGTGTGTGTGTGTGTATGTGAGTGTGGGTGTGTGTGTGTGTGTGTGTGTGTGTGTGTGTGTGTGTGTGCATACGTATGTATGTTGTGAAAGAGCGAGAATACGAATGTCAGAGTAAGAAGCACTCTCAGCGATAAATCCGGAAAATGTGAAAATACTGCACAGCGTGAATGTCGGAGAAAGAGAAAAATAAAGAGAGAGGGCGAGAGAGAGAGAGAGAGAGAGAGAGAGAGAGAGAGAGGAAGAGAGAGAAAGAGAGAGTGCAAAAGAGCGATCCCATCGACCCCCATCAATCTTTCTATAGGGTAGGGTTATCCGATCTTTGATGGCGCACTACGATCTCGGTAGCGCATTTCCGGGAGCGCAGGACGATCGCGTGTTACCGGATGCTGCGACACGTGAGCGAACGACACCGTGTATCGATCGTATCTTCGATACGTGGTAATCGACGTCCGTGATCCGAAACATCGCGAGACGGCAGACGGAGAACACGCGGCAGTCTATCACAGAATGCCAGCTTGGCCTGGCTCCGAGCTGGCATTCCCGTTCGTCCCGGTGGACATCGCGATCTGTCCGCGGGGACGAACTCTGCTCCCCTCCCTCCCCCCCGATCAATATCTTTCATTCCCTTTATAGAATCCCCATCCCTTGTGTCCGAGAATGACACATCACTACAACATCCGATAAGCTCATCCCGATAAACTATAATAGTAAGTAGTTCGACTCTCTCTGTCTTCTTTTTAGAGATACATGTGTCATTATTATTATTGATTATTATTACGATTTAGTACCAATACCACTATTATTATTAATATTATTATTTGTATTATTGCTATCATCATCGTTATAATAATAATTATTATTATTACTGTGAATCCCCCGACGGCCTCATGTTACTATCAACCGCCCATTTATGGATCGTTCGTGCTCGTTCACGAGCAAGTTCAAGTTTCAGATTTTAATAATACAGAAGTGCAAAAGTATAGAATTTTATGATCATAATTACGGGACTCCACTGAGTTTATACATAAACAGAGATATTTTTCAAGCAATATACTGAAACGAAAATAGACTTTTGAGATCGGTACTGTATAGAATCATACATAATTTTCTTCTAAAATTCGTAATATTTTAATATTATTAATACACTGTTAAATTCAAATCAAATTATTTAATTTAAATTATTTTTAATCATTTTTCTATAGATCGCCATTGCTCCTTCTCAATATGTCGTTAATTTAAACAATGAACAATTTCGAACTTGACAAAATGTATATAATTTTATTCAAATTTGATTTGTTATTCACTAAGTGCACGTTAATATAAATATTTAAAATTAATTAAGAAACTAATCAAGAATGGATTTACATTTTAACACACATGAAAGTTAAAAATAACAAAATGTTATTTAACTAAAGGGATTGAATTATTATTACTCTTTTGCTATCTCTATATATATATATATATATAT